CTCATTTGAGCCCACATGCTAAAGTACCATGTTAGTACTGTGTGGTGATAGTCCAATTGACTTTTTCCCCTTTATTTTCCTTTTTTTTATGTGATGTGATAATGATTTACAAAATGTTTGGCAAATATTTCATTCTACCCTTTAGCCTTTCTGACACTAGTTCTAAAGGTTGAATGTTCATGTATCTTTTTAATTTATATTATGTACATTTCTTCTTTGATGCAAGAAATAGAAACTTATGAGTTCAGCATATGCCTATTTCTATCTCTAACAACATTGCTTATTGTACTGTTGTATTTTTATTACACTGCTTTACTCACCACATATACTGAAGTATTATTTTGATATTTTAATGTGGATATATGATGATTAAATTTTTCCATTTTAAAATGTAACTCATAAACACAGAAAAACTTTGATGAAATGGTAAGAACTGATATTCACTTTTTAAAATATATATAAAATTAGATTTTTTAATGCTATATTTGCTAATGAAAAACAACTCACCCAAAAAGGAATTTTTTAATTTGATCATTTGTTTAATCAGATTCTGGATTTGCTCCTTTGGGCCCAAGAATATCTATTCTCTCTACAGTACAGAGGATTAATATCTCATTTTAATTTATTTAAAATCTGTTGACTTGTGGGAGTTAACAGAAACTTTGATTTTGGCAATTCTAATTAAACGCTAATTGCAATTTGAAGAATTTGCTACCATGAAATTGAAAAGCTCAGGAATGACACAGACATGATTTTTCTTTGCTTCTCCATGATATGTGAAACTATGGAAATGTTTAATGCTATCTAAGGCAAAAATCTTATTTTCACGGTGAATATTTTTATTCCCAACCATCAAAATCAGTGATGATATTTAATTAGAAAATAGTAGAGGACTTCACAACCGAAGTAAAATGATTCCTTTTGAGCTGCTGGTGGTTTGGGTTAATTCTCTCTAGTGATAAATTAACTGCAGTAGAAGTATAAAAGTAGGAAATATTTTGTGTGTTGAACATACATCTTGATGCATCCATTTTTTAGGCTTTAAATATAAAATAAACCCCTCTCCTTCTACATATGGAACCATGGTTCCCCTTCTGGAAAGTAACACATATTTCTTTAGCCAAACAAGTACCAGGATCAAGCCTGCCATTTATGCTTGGGAACATAAGCTTCCCTCAGGAAAGGGCAGCAATATTGACACCCCCCACACACAAATGCACTCACAAATACCCATTTATATATAGTATCCATACAGCCCACTCTCTTGGTCATAAGATGTTTTCTTCTATTCTTCACTCAAAAATTTTCCTCAGCTACCCTAAAAGAGATTATACAAATGACATTCCAAATTCAGCATTGGTCTCAACATTCAAGATCTCATGATAATTTCTGTATCAGATCTCAATGTGTCCTCTGTTGCTCCAGAGATCTATGCATTAAAAAGGAAAGTAATTTACACCCACACCTACATACTCAATATACTGTAGGAAAAGTAGGACAATGAAAGTCAAATAAATTCTTCCATATATAAAAGCGAAATAGAAAACATTAATGAATTCTAACTTGGTAGATGTTATGGGGCACTTACAGTATCCCTTGGAATATTTCTATATTTTGCCTGACTTATGTTTCCAGAAAATAGTTGCCTAGTATGTAGGCAACGCTTTTATTTTATTTATTTATTTATTATTATTGTTACCTTTTAAAATGCTGAGGCCAAAACCAAGACCACAAACAACAACATCTTCATCATCAACATCATATTATGGCTATGTCTAATATGTTAATAAGGACTATTTCCTCCCTCAGTGTTGAAATAACAGTCAGCCAGCAACATTCTTGTGGGAGTTTGGAGGAACAAAAAATTATTTCAAGTCTTGAAAAATTAATTTCTTTCAGCTCAGGCTGAAAGCTCATTTGTCAGTATAAATGAAACAGAATCTTCTTCTATTTCATTCCAGTAACTTCTGCATGTCAATTATCACATCTTAAATTCCTTTGGAGACATGACTCTGTCACCAAGCTACTTTTAGTTACCTGAATTAAGAGATGTTCTGGTAGAGGTACAGCCTCAATATTTCCTCCCTGTACCAATTTACTCAGTTTAAAGGATTTATTAGGAGCTACTTTAATAGAGTTGGGGCTTTAATGTCATTTGATAGACACACCATTGATTTGGTCTTTGCCACAAAATTCAACTCTAATTGACCTTTATTATTGAAGAAATTCTTAGTTTTATATTTTCTCATTTGGAAATGAAAGTCAGATGTGTTTTACAGCAGTATAAACCACAGGATGTCTTAAATTGTTGTATAATCTTACATGTCTGTTTAAAAATTTGACAATTATTTTATAGTTCTTTTTTATTTTAGGCGCTTATAAAATGCACCAATAGCAAACAAGAAATATTATTTCACATCTTTACACCTAAAAGCCACCAGATAATCCCAATCACCATCTGTCTTTCAAGATATCAAAGGAAATTAATGTACCAGAAGTTTCACCACTCCATAAAACAGGTCTGTATCATTCCAGCCTCCAATATATTTTCTAACCTCCTTATTCTGGCACAGAAGCCAAGTATGTATTTAGAGTTTGTTTTCTCATATTATTTTAATGACCATATGCATCAGCTTTAGCTTCAACTAAGATTTTTTTCCCCCAGCAATAACTCCAAAGTTTCAGTGACTTGTATTAGCACATAGTGACTTTTACGTGTATGGATTCCATGGTGGGTCAGCAAAAGTGTTGCTTCATCTCTTCTTTATCTTGGGATCTTTGTGGAGATTATGAACATGTTCTATTATGGGACATGAGATATAGAAGAAAACACACATGGGAAGAGAGAGAGAAGAGAGATATGTTCAAGCCCTGTATTGGCTCTCAAGCTTCTGATGTCAACTGCAATGGTTAATTTGAATCATCAATTTGATTGGATTAAGAGATGCCAGTGATTAAGAGTCTGTGTTAAAGAGGATGTGTCTAGAAATGATTGGCATGTGGAATAGGCAACTGGAGTGGAGACCCTCCCCAACGTGGGCAGCAGCATCCAATAGGATGATGGCTTGGATAGAATAAAAGTTGGAAGAACAAGGAAGCAACAGCAAATTCAAGCTTAACTCTTCTTGAACTGGTTCTTGATTGCTGATGAAATGGTTTGAGGATGTCAGACTCTTGCTTCTTCACTCTTCTTTCAAAGTGGACTCTGCCAGTGAGTGTTCAGGGAGTTTCCAGAAGCCATCAGTGTCAGATTAGGGTAGCACTGTTAATTCCTCTTGTTCTGGGGCTTCAGCCTCTTGGACTGTACAGCTACTGGTTCTTCCAGCTCTGCAGCCTGCAGATGTCCATGGTGGACTATCCAGCTTCTGGTTGTGCAAGCCAGCCTAATAACTCTCCTTTTTTATAATTATACTTCCTGTTGATTCTGTACCTCTAGAGAACCCTGACTAACATAGCAACTGATGAGCTCTGCTTCTCCTCATGAGATATCAGTGAAGCAAGCATCAGATGGCCGCACCTGTCACTGATTCTGTGGGACACATAACCCTACATAGAGGAGCAAATTATATGCCCATCCTTGAGAACATGGCTCATTGTTACATTATTCCATGATATTGTTGAATCAGATCATTGGAGAATAATATTTCATTGATTAACAAACTCTAGAATATATATTCATTCCCTTGCAAATAATTTAGCACCAAGTTATTTCTTAAAGCTTATATTGACAAACACAACAATTTATTTACCACACCTGCCACCCCAATAAACATGAGCGTGTTAGAACTATTCCCAGAAATCATGGCTATAATAGAAGAAAAACCCAACAGTATTCTCTTGAGACTACTGTAGTCTTCTTTGGACTTACTCTTCGCATATATATGAATATCAATAAATGGACGCATATTTTCATTAAAAAGAGACAAATCAGGGATGAAGTGCCCACCAACAAAACAACACTAGTAAGAGTAGAGAGCAGGGTATGAGCTGCACTGGTGGAATGAATCTGTTTTCACAAGATTTCACTAGAGAAATGCAGTTTGCTCGACTGAAATCACATTGATTAAAAACTAAAGCACAAAATGTAGAATATGTTCTGTTATTATTTCCCATGCAAAAATGTAAACAGTCTTTCTAAGGAGGGAGCCAATGCTTTTTGCTTTTTGCCTCACAAGTCGTCCAACAGGAACAGATGCAGTGACTGGAACGCCATCTGACATCACCACAACTTGGAGGGGACAGTCCCACAGTCACAGTGACAGTGGAGACTGCGTTGCTGTGAAAACAAACAAATAAACAAACTCTTTGTGCTCATAAGTGAAGCTGAAATTGCACCAGAGTCACAGTCGTGCTGTTAGACATCACACTGAGATGCCTGCCTTCCGGAACCATCTGAGATATTTCATAGCCATTAACAAGTTGACCTCACACAGCAAAATGAGCCTCATTCAAAAACCCGAGAGCAGTGCTCATATATATATAGAATGTGTATTCATGACAAGTATTGTATTTCTCTGACATATGCTTATATCTTAAATTTAAAACTCCAGGTTTTAGTTATACTGTGTCAGATTTAAACACACACATACACACACACACACACATGCATACACACTCATATCCTCCTACACATCCCACTTTATCTACTCCACACACCCATATACTACACATACACACACACACACACACACACACACACACACACACACACACACACACACCAGACTATGCTGAAATGTTAAAGTTATAAACATACTATTATCACTCAAATGTGCATGTTATAATCTTTCTTCTCTTTCCATATAATTTTTAAAATTGACTTTAGTTGTTAAAATATGAAGGTTTTGGGCTGGGGATGTGGCTCAAGTGGTAGTGCACTCACCTGGCATGCGAGCACCACATACAAAGAAAGATGTTGTGTCCGCTGAGAACTAAAAAATTTAAAAAAAAATTTAAAAAGTTCTCTCTCTCTCTCTCTCTCTCTCTCTCTCTCTCTCTCTTTCTCTCTCTCAAAAAAATGAAGGTTTTTACCCTGATTAATGATGCATTAATAAAGAACAAAATGCCTCATACACACTATAAAGTGCTGTTTGAAGCCATCCAGCACATGCTTACATGCTTATTTATAAAGAACCTCATCTTCTTTTTGGTTCAGTCCCAGTTTCAGTTCTTCCACTTGAAATCTGAGTTTCTTTGCTTCTGCCTCATTCTGATCCACTGGGCTGTTTGCAGGATTCAGTTCTGCCACCTTCACCTGGTACAGTCTTCTTAGTTTTTGATAAGCATGTTGAAGTTCCAACAGTTCCTTTTAAGAGAAAGCAGGGATCCATTACTTGTAATCTATTCTGATGAAGTCAGAAGAAAGACAAGTCTTCCGACCAAGGAGAAAGAATTCCAGGAAAAAGTCAGATGGGTCACCTCCTCCATCTCAAACTCTGTCTTGCTGCATTAATGTCTCTTGTTGGGTCTGCACTGGGATGAACACAGAGGTGCCCTGCAATTAAGCCACAACCCTGCCCCACTTTTTTTTAAACTGATAGTTATAAGAGTATATTTATTCTGTAAGAATGTACATAAGATCCTTGAAACAGCTTAGGAAAAGACGCAAGCATATGTAGGCCATTTAGTCTAATCATTCTCTTGAAACTTCAAAAATACACAAATTAAAATCATTTACTACTATTTTGATCTACCAAATTAACAAAGATTTAGAAAAACAAAGGCATTCGGCATTGGCAAGAGGTGGAGTGATCAGAACTCTCATTGGGTTGTAGTGGGCATGTAATTTAAATCATTCATGTGGCACCACAAGAACTTTTAGTTTTGAGACCAGATCTTGCTGAGTTGCCCAGGCTGGCCTTGAACTTGGGATCCTCCTATCTCCCCAAGTCACTGGGATTACAAGTGTGCACCACTGTGCCCAGCTTGCAATTAATACTATGATTAGCATATAACTGTAAGTGGAAGATGTATTCCTTTGTGTCTAAAATGGCTAAAATAAAATGCAGCTCTTTATTCTGTTAAGTAAATGTTTCAATTCCCTCCTTATTCAGGAAATGTTTTAATGTATCTTTTCCAAAGAAGAAAATCACATACTCATAAGTGACATACTCATAAGTGAAGAGTAAAATATAATAAAAATAAAAGCAAAAGAGCTCTTCAGCTACAACGTCAACAGAAGTCTTGGAAGTTATGAGGCTGTATGCTATTAACTGTGTTTCTGAGAGAGAAGCAGCTGCAATCCTACTGTCACCAGCCACCCCTCCAGAAACCAGGGAATCTGAGTCAGTGACCTGGAGAAGATGGTAAAGAAGCAAATGAATCTATGATGGCACAGCTGCTTGACCAGTGTTGCCAAGATCAACACCAGGCACAACACACATTTATAGAATAGAGTAATTGGCCACAGATAATTAATAAGGGTTTCTACTTTTCGTGAAAATTCACAGCATGACATTAACAGTATTGTCATCATGGAAATCAGCTTTCTTAAAGCTTTAAAGAAAAAAATCTGTACTTCCTCCTAATATTATAATACTGTAGGAAAACCCAATGATATTTCTTTGACTTTCTGAAAAACACTGTCATCATAATTAACATATAAAAATCACAAAGAATGGTATCAGTTTGAAATCTTATTCAATTACTTAGGAAAATTAGGTAGACAACTAGAAATTGAATTTTTCTTCACATCTTTTATGAATTGTCATCTTGATAATGATGAATCAGAAAATCAAAGTAAAAAAATTAAAAAAGAGTATATAATACTGGAAAATGTTAGAAGAAAAATGCGGATACATTTTTAAAATCACCAAATAGTACAAGTTTTCCTAAGTATAATCCCAAGCCAAGAGATCATAAAATGATAAATGTAATCACAATTATACAATTTGTGCACAGTAAATAAAACAGTATTTTTTACATGAGACCAAGTACCTTACTATACAAAGAATTGTATCAAGTTTATGAAAATTAACTGGATATAAAATGTGAAAAGACAAAATGTTCAGAAAATAAAATAGAATATCTCCTAAACTTTGAAAGATATTCATCTTCACTCAACTAGGGGAATAATTATTACAATGTACATAATATTTTGACATGTCAAAAATACAGAAATGGAAATCAAGGTAGAGATGGGTAAGAGGGTCCTCAGGAAATGCAGGAGATGGCTATAAAAGGGCAACATCACATATTCTTAAAATGGAAATTCTCTCTGTTCTGACTTTCTCTGTTTCAATATCTTGGTTGTACTATTATAAGACAATTTTGTAAGATGATAACATTGGAGGAAACTGGGTAAAGGCTGCACACATCTCTTTGTATTATTTCTTACAAATATATATGAATCTGTAACCATCAAAAATTCAAAAGTCTAATTATGAGGATGTAGAAATAAAGGAACCCTTACATGCTGTTGGTAGGAATGCAAACTAGAGCAGACATTATGGGAAAGGATATGTGATTCCTCAAAAAACTAAAAATAAGACAATGTATGGTCCAGCTTTCCCACTACTGGATACATATCTAAAGTAAATGAAATCAGTCAGTCAAAGAGATATCTGCACCCCCATGTGTGCTATAGCAGTATTTATAAGAGCCAAGACATAGAAACAAACTAAGTGTTCATCCACCAATTAATCAATAAAGAAAATTTGGTACATTTCCTTGATGGAATATATACATAATGGGAGACAATTCAGCCACAAAAAGAAACAAAATGTTGTCATTCATGACATGGACCAACCTGGAGACTGTATTAAGTACAATAAATGGTTGGAATGAGAATCACCACCTCTGGTGACCAATTCTGAGGAAGGATTGCAGGAGAGAGGAGGAAACAGATCTAGCAGGGCAATCAGACGTGGCCCACACACTGGTCAGCTGGTCAGTAGCTGCACAGCAACACATTGGTCTGTGAAATCACTGCAGCATTTTACTGAATAGCATCACAGATCGCATTGGAAATGCAAACAGATCTCTCACTTCTCTTCAGAACACAATTTTCAAATGTCAAGTTTGAAAATTTTTATTTGTTAACAAAGAATCCTGGAATAGGGAACACTCTTCTATTATTTGTAGTGACAACGGGATCTTTCTTGATCTCTCAAACATAAAGTCCCTTTCTCCTTTCTTTCCTTCCCTCCCTCCCTTGATTATCCTCCTTTCCTCATTCTATCTTTTGTCCATTCAACAAATATTTCTGGCAATTGGCTAAGTGGTACTATATAAAATCAAGCTTCAGGCCACTTTGTAGAGACAAAGAAGCTAATAGTATTATGAAAAATGGCAATGATTCATAGATAAGGGGACATGGGTTCTGAAATTTGGAAGTTAATTAAAGAGTATTGTGTGGGTTTGTGTCTGTGTCTTCTATTCTGTACCACTGGTCTACAAGTCTATTTTCATGCCATTCTTGTTACTATAGGTCTGTTGTACAGTTTAAGGTCTGATATTGTGATAATTAGAGAAACACAAATCAAAACTGCTCTAGGATTTCATCTCACTCTAGTCAGAATGGCAGTTATCAAGAATACAAGCAATGATAAGTATTGGCGAGGATATGGAGAAAAAGATACACTCATACATTGAAAGCATTATGGAGATTCCTTAGAAAACTTGGAATGGAACCATCATTTGACCCAGCTATCCCACTCCTCAGTTATACCCAAAGGACTTAAAATCAGCATAGTATAGTGACGCAGCCACATCAATGTTCATAGCAGCTCAATTCACAATAGCTAAACTGTGGAACCAAACTAGATGACCTTCAACAGATTAATGAATAAAGAAACTGTGGTACATATACACAATGGAATATTACTCAACATTAAAAGAGAATAAAATTATGGCATTTGCAGGTAAATGAATGAAGTTGAAGAATATCATGCTAAGCAAAGTAAGCCAAAAAAAACCAAAGTCCATGTGTTTTCTCTGATAAGTGGATGCTGATCCACAATGGGGGGGCATGGGGAGAGTGGAGGAACTTAGATTGGGCAAAGGGGAGGGAGGGAAGAAGAGGGGGCATAGGGGTAGGAAAGCTGGTGGAATGAGATGGACATCATTACCCTAGGTACATGTATGACTGCACATGTGGTGCAACTCTCCATTGTGTACAACCAGAGAAATGAAAAGTTGTGTTCCATTTGTGTACAATGAATTGAAATGCACTCTTATATCATGTATAACTAATTATAACAAATAAAATTTTAAAAAATTATTATTTGAAGAGGAAAATTTGAAAGGAAGATGCTCCAAGCTAAAGTAGCAGCACACAGCAAGGATGTGTCAATGGGAAGGTGCCTGGACT